AAATATGTTCAGGCTGAGGTTGTGGCTCAGTGGTAGAGCACTTGCCTAATATGTTTGAGGCACTGGGTTTAATCCTCAGCACCACATTTAAAAAAAAAAATGTAAAGAAAATGCAAGTATTGTGTCCATCTGGAACTAAAAAATATTAAAAAAAAAAAAAAAAAAAAAGAGGAGGAAGAAGCTTTTCTATCTCTTTGAAAACAGTAACCACTGTTTTTCAAAGCCTGGAATCATCATGGCAGTTTCTTTGGGGCATATGTCATTTCAGAATTAAGAGTCAAAATTTTCTTCTGGAATGTTTCTTTTGAAATAAATACTGTATCTTTGATTGCTGTCCCTGCCCCATGTGGTTGTTAGCTGGTCTTAGGTACCTTTTGTACACTGTGTTATGACTTACAGTACTGTATCTGGGCCAGACTGTCCCCCAAACAGGGAAGGGGCAGTGCCATGTTTTCTGGCCCAGAAGACTCACTTCCTCAGCCATCTTGCTTTTCTTCTGGATGTGTTTGTCTTGATGATTTCTGGTCAGCCTTTTCTTTGTCTTCCACTCCTAATCTTCTCTTTCTTTTCTTGTCTTCATCCAAACCTGCACCCTCACTCCTGAGATTTGTTCTGCTTAAATCTGTGACTGTCTCCTCTTTTCTGGAGGGAAATCTTCCCCAGAGAGATTCTGATGGATACCACATTTGAAACTATCAAGTCAAAGGAATAACCTCTTCCCCAAAATACGTTCTCTTAGAGACTTTTGGTTCAGATGGTGCTATAGTTTGGATCTTCAGTGCTCCCCTCAAAAGTGAGCATATTAAAGGCTTGTTCTCCAGGGTGACACTATTGAGAGGTAGTAAAATTTTTAAAGAGATGGAGCTAAGTGGGAGGTCTTTTGGCCATTGAGGGTGTACCCTTGAAGAGAATGTGGGACTTTGGTCCCTTCTGTTTCTTTGTCTCATTCATGTCCTAGCCATGGTGTGAGTGGTTTTGCTACACCACACAATTTTGTTATGATGTGCTGCCTGGGCACAGACTAGAAAGCAGTCGGAGTAAAACTTTCCAAACTCTGAGCCAAAATAAACCTTTTCTCTTTATAAATTGATTATTTCAGGTATATATTATAGCAGTAGAAAGCTAGGTCTATATATAGATGGTAATCTCAGCACATAAACTTAAGTCACCTTGCAAACTACCATTGAGCACAACCAAAGAAATAATGGAAAATCAAGAAAGAGATGTGATCTAGAAATTAGGAAGAGCCTTGTGCCTATGGTAGAGCCATAAAGGACTTCTGCATGTTGCAGAGAAGACTGAATTAAAGGACATGCTAACCAACTTGTGATCATGAGGAATTATCAGCTTCTTTAACATGTACCTGTTCATAGCTACAGTGGCACCTTCCTGTCCTGCTTCCTTTGTCACCTCACATGTTTATTGGATATTCCTGCCACCTCGTCATCATGGTCCTTCAAGTATTCTCTGTTTTGTATATTCTTTCCTTTGTCCTATCTGTAAAGTACTGACATTTTCACATACTCTTGACACGGTACATGCTGCCCATTTATCTCTTCTTTCCTTTCAGGTTCAGCTGTGGCCTCTAGGCAGGTGCCTACAGAGCTTTTTGACTCTCCTGTTTCCTAATCTCTCTCCTGAGCTCTCCTTTTTGTACATTCTGCCTTGATGTCCCATGTTCCTCAGAAGCAGCACATTTTCTAAAGACTAGCCAACTCCACCACCTTTTTCCTTAATTTCCTTCTTTCCATTAATGTTGTAATTCCTCTCAATGTCATCTAAGTGCAACACTTTACCTTTCATTCCTTTTCACTGTTGCTGTCTCTCACAGGTACCAGGTCCTAGTGGTTCCTCATTCAAAATATTCCTTATAACTCTTCAGTTCCCCTCTAACTATCTTTTTTCATTGTGAATTAATGGTACAGGCTTATAGATTGGTTCTCTATGAAACTTTCTGCTTCTGTAAGTCACTGTGCACATTGCTGCCAGGTACTTACTGTTCACTGTCTTGCAGTAGACTGTCAGGGACTTCTCTACTGGCTACCAATGGGGTACAAACTCCTCCGCTGGGTATTCTGCAGTCTGGCAGCCACCAATCTCCTCATCTCTCCGCCAGTAAATACTACACTATGGCTTGCACACTGGTAGCCCTAAAAATGTAGCAGAGAACTACACAGACAGGGCACCTGCCTTCATGGAGTTTGTATTCCCATGAAGAGCCAGAGTGTGATTAGTACTGTAAAAGAAATAACAGAGTGGTACGAGTAAGGGTATAACAGGTCATGTCTGTTTTAGATGAGATGATCCAGGAAGTTCTCCCTAAAAAAGAAATGCAGTTGATCAACAAATACATGAAAAAGTGTTCAACATCTCTAGCAATTAGAGAAATGCAAATCAAAACTACTCTAAGATTTCATTTCATTCCTGTCAGAATGACAATCATTAAGAATACAGGCAATAATAAATGTTGGTGAGGAGTGGTGAAAAAAGATACACTCTTACATTGCTGGTGGGACTGCAAATAGGTACAACCACTGTGGAAAGCAGTATGGAGATTCTTCAGAAAACTGGGAATGGAACCACCATTTGACCCAGCTATCCCACTCCTTAGTTTATACCCAAGGTACTTAAAATCAGCATACTATAGTGATGCAGCCACATCAATGTTTGTAGTAGCTCAATTCACCATGGCTATGGAACCAACCTAGGTGTCCCTCAATAGATGAATGGATAAAGAAAATGTGGTATATATATTCAGTGGAATATTACTCAGCTTTAAAGAAGAGTGTAATTGTGGCATTTTCCAGTAAATGGTTGGAGTTGGAGAATATCATGCTAAGTGAAATAAGCCAGTCCCACAAAACCAAAGGCTGAATATTTTCTCTAATATGCAGATGCTAATTCACAATAAGGCAGGGGGCACTAGGGAAGAATAGGGTTACCTTAGATTAGGTAGAGGGAAGTGATGGAAGGGGTGGGGAGGGGATGTGGGGATAGGAAAGGTAGTAGAATGAAATATACATTATTACTGTATGTATGTATGTGACTGCATGACCAATATGATTCTGCAACATGTACACTCAGAAAAATGAGAAATTATATCCTATCTATGTATATCAAAGTACATGAATGCATTCTACTGTCATGTATACCTAAAATTTTTAAAAATATTTTTTTAAAAAGAAGTAATGTCTTAGATGAGATCTGAAGGTTAGGAAGGAGCCAGCCATAGAAAGAGAGGGAAAAAATTATAAGGATCCTGAGGCCAAAAAGGGATTTACATGCCAAGAACAGAAGGTGGCCCTCAAGATTGGAGAAGAGTGAGTGAGCTAAAGAGAGAGATGTGAAAGAGTTTGACAGGGGAAAGAGTTTGCATTTTATTCCAGGTACTGTATTGAGAGATTTTCGAAGCAGTGAAATGATATGAAAACAGTACTCTGGAACCCAGGGGCACTTAACCACTAAGCCACATCTCCAGCCCGTTTGTTTTATTTTGAGACAGGGACTCAGTAACTTGCTCAGAGCCTCATTAAGTTGTTGAGGCTGGCTTTGAACTCATGATCTTCCTGCCTCAGTCTCCTGAGCTGCTGGGATTACAGGTGTGCACCACCATGCCCTGTGGGAAGAGGCTCTTATAGTAATAGTTTGGACTTCATCAGAGTTCCTCAGTCTCAGCTTTACTAACAGGAAATTCTGTTTGGATACTTGCCCTGTGCTCTGCAGGATGTTTTCTTGCATCTCCAGCTTCTACCCATAAGAAGACAGTAGCACCTGCCCCTCCCATTTGTGACAATCAAAAATGTTTCCAGATATTGTCACATGTCCCCTGGGGAGCACAGCCACCCTGGTTGAGAACCACTGGACTCTAGATGGTGGCAGCAGTGATGGATTTGAAATGTTTTATAGACGCAGAACTGACAGTATCTTTAAATGAATGGAATATGGAGAGTGAGAAAGGAAAAAATAAAAAATTCTGACTAGATTTTTGATTTGCACATCTAGGCAGATAGTGTCACACATACTTTAGGCTCTTGACATTAGTCTTCCTTGCTTTTGTGCTTGTTCTTAATATTATTCATCCACTTGTTAAATAGCTCACCCTACCACTCTCTCCTTTCTCTGAAGGAAGGTCCAACTTCAGTGCCATCTTGACGTGTTTCCAGGTTAGCTCATCAGTGGTGAGCCAAGTTCCAGTGAATTCCTACTGCCCCATTTTAGTACCCCTCTTAGATACTTCCTGGCCCAAGAAAGAAGCACCAGGGTCTACCAAAAGGAGTAGCCTTGATGGATGATTGAATTATGTAGCTTTGCTTTTATACCCTGCTCTTCTTTAGATTCCTGTTAGTGGCTTATAGGATTAACTTTTCTTTTTCTTCATCGTATGATCACAGGACCATCATCTGTTATAGGCAAGTCCTTGCTAGGTTTATCTGAAGTTGGTCACAGAATTAGGATTCTTACTATTTGTTACCATGTGTCATAGTTATTATGTATGTCATGGTTGTTAATGTCTGTCTGTCATCTCCCAAGAACAAGAGGGAAAGGGAAACTATATCCTGGATGGCACTTCTGTCTAGTAGCATAGTTATACTGATCATGAATTTGGTATTCAGTGAACGTTTTTTGAATAAATAAGTGAATGATTAAATCTGGTTTATTTTTTACTCTGGAGTATAATGGGATTAAAAAGAAGTAATATTTTTCTATAATGTGCTTTTTTTTTTTTTTTAGTTATATGGACACAATGCCTTTATTTATTTTTATGTGGTGCTGAGGATCAAACCCAGTACCTCACACGTGCTAGACAAGCGCTCTACCACTGAGCTATAGCCCCAGCCCCTCTATTATGTGTTTGTAATCAGAAAAATGTGGATTTTTTTTTTAAATGAAAGATTAGCCTGCAGGTAGCATTATTAGTGTAATCGGTTGGTTGATATGGAAGATGGCTTGTTGTCTGACTTTTCTTCTAATGCTACATCTTCTCTGTTTCTGCCTTGCAGCTCTAGTTGTAAGCACCACTTCAGCTGGTTTTGCATTGGCTCCAGGACCTTTTGACTGGCCCTGCTTCCTTCTCACTTCTCTTGGAACAGGTCTTTCATCCTGTGCTGCCAACTCCATTAATCAGGTCAGTTTCTTACCTTTCATCTAGATTATGGTATTCTCCCTTTTTCCTGGATAGTAGTAGTATCACATTTTTAAAAATCTTCCCAAATCCTATACATCAGTGGAAATGCCCTGTGAACTTGTAATACTGGATATGTATTATGAAATCTCTATGTTACATAACTATTTAGTGTTTTCTTTTGAGGTAAAGATTTTCAAATAGGTTCAGGTTAGAGAGCGGTAGAGTACATGCTTGAAATTACCAGAATTTAGAACTTATAACTTTCTATTCTTAGTGGTGTCTTTATCTAGTTCAGCTACATTTCTCCTGAGCTCATCATTATGTGCTGTTCTTTCTTAGTTTGATTTTATTGCATTTTAAACTGCCACCATACAAAATAGAATGTCTTCCCTATCTTGTGTGTGTGTGTATGCACACACACACGCATGTGTTTGTAGGTAGGTAGGTACTGGGGATTTAACTCAGAGGCTTTCTACATTGTGCTGCATTCCCAGCCCTTTTTATTTTTTATTTTGAGACAGGGTCTTGCTAAATTACCCAGGCTGTCCTCAAACTTGCAATCCTGCCTCAGCCTCCCAAGTTGTTGGGATTACAGGTGTGCATCACCATTGCGGGGCTCAGAATTTATTTTAAAGGAAAATATCCAGCTTAAAAAAAATAGTAATTCAGTACTATTAACTTGGTATAAGGAATCAAATTATATAAAAAGCTAATTAGTATATTATTTTTAATGGATTCTCCTCTCCCATTATTTTAAACATTTAGATACTTCCAAAATAGTTTTCCCCCACTTGTCACTGTGATGTGCCCTAACACTGTGGGTTTTTCAAAGATACTGGAGTGAAAAAGCTTTGGCTAAAACATAAGGAAAATTGTCTTCATCACCAGAACACCCAAGTGAAGTTGGCATAGTTTTTAAAATAGGAATTAAAGTTACCAGAAGGGAAATAGCTTAGTTGAATGGATATGTGAGTAGCTAGTTTGCAAAATAAGGGAATTTAATTTGATAGTGCCCAAAATGATTGTGTTTCTATAGTGTATTATCAGTTACTTGGAGAAGAATCAATTTATTTTAAATAAGAGTTTCTTGTTATTTTTATTGTCAAACAGTCTTCTATTCTTCTAGTGAGGTTCAAATGGACCTACCACTTATGATTCTTTCAATAAACTGGATTTATTTTGGATCTAGTCTTCAATTTTTATTTTTATTATTGCCTGTATTTGGGTATAGATCTAAGTTAGGAGAATAAGCTAGGGGCACATTTCTAGTTTCCAGCCTCCTTTTTATAAATTTAGGAGCTGCATTCATCCTTGAGATACTAATTCCTATCTCTTGTTTATATTGTACAGATTCAAACAAGATTTTTAAAATAAAAGTATGGGGACTCAGGGATAATCAAAAATATTCAAACGCTTCAACTGGTTGATAAAACCAAAATATTATAAAAAATAAGAATAAGTTTGAGCTACTCTTCCCTACCATACCCCTTACTGTCTCCAAAAAAAGGCAGCTCAATAATTTTTCATGAAAAAAACAAACAAACTGTCAGTTATAAACAGAAATTTCCAATCTGGAAAGGAAAAATGAAATGATTTACATTTAGGCAGAAATTCACAAGAACTGAGTATAAGCCAAGGTTTTATACATTTTAAAAGGATTATGTGCTTCAATGGCTGCTTGATTTCATAGTTTATAGAAGCATATTTGTGATGGGGGTGAGTTGGGTTCTGTAAATTTTAAAACTGCTAAGGAAAGCCGCAGACTACATGATGGGATTCTTTCTGGTACCAACAAATTGCAGTGTCTGCCTCTGCTATTAATATTTCCTTAGTTAGGTTTTCCAAGCTCTGCATCCCACTTACACAGCTCTCCTGGTCTCCCTTTGGAACACTTTATCCCATTCTTCCACGTGTCACTCATCCCTCACAGGCCTTGTCAATGTCATGAGCAATGCTGGATCTTAATCAGTATTCATTTCACAAATGAATTTCTTCGTCTTATGGCCTCCATATTGCTTCTTCCCACTTGTCTTAGGCTCTAATTTTGGAAGCACAATACTTAAAAATTTTTAATTATCCGTAGCATAGTAGAATTCATTGTTATTATTAAGGTATTAATCAGCTTTCCAAATTATTATATACTCTTCAGTAATGCGTTGGAAATATTTTAATTCCAGTGTTATTAGGCAGTCTCATAAATATGAAATAAAGGAACATAAGGCCATTTTCATTAGCACTTTTAAATAGCATTCGTAGAACAAAGAGCACAGGCAACATGGAATTAACAGTGCTTTTGAATAGCAGTTAGGTAAAGACATAGTTTTTAGCATAAAAGAAGAGTTAGTGTTTTTTCTTAGCTGTGTTTACATTAAAGAATGCATATATATGGTTGATCTTTTGTAAAAGTCCTTCAGCTTCTAAAAGAATTCTATGGGTAAAAAAAATTTCTTTCTGTCCATGTTTATAAAATGTTTCAAAGAACATTTTTTTATATATATTCATTTTTTATGTGCTTCATTTGAGCTGTTATTCATTTAATACTGTTTCTTCTTTATATCCAACTTCTGTGATCTCTCTGTGAAAGTAGAAAAAAATAAAGCTTTGAAAAGCAATTCTTACATTTGTTTTTAAGGAGAGAAAAATGAGATTCAGCTTCTGATTTATGAAGTAGTGACTAGTGCATAAAGAGATATGTATAAGAAACCACTAACACTGAAATGTAAAAATAAATTACATACATGTTTTGTAATATATATACATGCTTCGTTCAAAGCCAAAGTGTGGCTTTAAAGGGGGTATGCCTTCAAAGGATGAAAGCAATCCATAAAATGTTTTTAATTTAGCAACTGAAAGATAAAATGTTATGGGTAGCTTTGACTGTTCAAATCTTGAGAAACAAGTACAAAGTAAATAGAATACATTCAAGTAGAATTAAGACTTCTAAAAATTATCAGACTATTAAAGAATTATGTTGAGTATTTGGCATAGTAGTGTAATAAGCTGTGTAATTGAGATTATCTTACCTATGCTACTTGTACTAGTGAAACACAAGTAAAATGATGTATTTATCTGAAGTTTTGCCTTTCACACATAACAGCCCATTTACTACAGTTCGAAAATAGTAAATGGAAAATTCCAGAAATATATAATTAAATTAAGAAACTTTGATTGTAGCATATTGTTACGACTGTTTTATTATTGCTTATTGTTGTTAATCTTCTGTTGTGCCTAATTTATAAATTAGGCTTTATCACAGATGTATATTTATAGGAAAAACTATAGTATATGGATAGTATACGTAAGATTGGGTACTGAGTTTTTAGGTATCCATTGGGGGTCTTGGAACATATCCCTTGTAGATACGGGCAGACAACTGTACATGTTTTTTAAGCAGGGATTATGTCAACAAATGTATACGTCAGTAAATATGTTTCTGCAGTATGAATTTTAATGGGCATGTGAAATTCTGTTTTATGGTTATGCTTCAGATTTCTCAACTAATTTTCTATTGTTGTTATCTCTTTTATTCTGTAAATAACACTGCACATTTCTAATTAGTTTTAAAGGACAAATTACTGGAAGTGAAATTCCTGGGAGGAAGGCTACCAGCCCAAGAACATATGAAACTGGTTTAACTTTGGAATGTATGATCTTAACAAGATAATTAATTTCTTACATTCACACAGTGCTGTAGAATTTATAGACTATGTTTATATAAATCATTCTTTAAACATGACAACCCTGTGAAGTAGGTGACATTATTTCCATTTCCCTTTTTAAAACAATGTCTTTTTGGCCATTGAATTATTTTTTTAACAGGCAACATTTTAAACATTTATTATACAAATGATGTTTTCATTGCAAATCAGTAAGAATATATAGATAAGCAAAAAATAACAGTTACATTTTTATTTTACTTTTCCCCTATGCCAGGTAGTGTTTTGTTGTAGGGTAACAGAGAACAAGCAAAATAGATGCTATCCAAATAGATGTGTTTTCCAACCTTAACACTCTGAGTAGTTTAGATTGGATGGCTCTTTGTGGTGGGAGACTGTCCTGTGCATTGTGGGGTGTTTCCCAGCATCCCCAGCTTCTGTCTATTGGTAGTAGTAACATCCCTTCCCCAGTTGTGACACTGCAAATGTCTTTAGAAATTGTCAGATATCCCATGGGGACACAAGTCACCCCCAGTTAAGAACCACTGCTTTAATAATTTCTACTTTTTATTTCATTCTGAGATCTTTACCCAGGATCCTGGCTATAGTTTCTCCTTGTGTAACTACTCATTGATAGCTGGGGTGGTCATGTGTCATACTTTATACCTTTGTTCTTGGTATAATTATTAAGAATGCCCCTTTTACTCAGGTGCCTTAGTGTGGGCGAGGAATTATGGTCTTACTGTTCATAGCTTATTTATGACTTCATTCTATCAGTATAAATGAGATGTGGTAGAAATATCTTCATATCAAAAGGTGTTTCCTTGAGTTCTGCCTTTTCGGTTCAGTGTGCCCATTGGAGGAGCAGAGATTTCCTGACTATAGCCAAGGTCACTTGGCTTGCCTAATCTTTACCTTCTTTGTAGTTACACCTATACTCTGTTGTCATGCCTAATTGTAGTGTTTTTACACACGTACACACGCACACACACACACAAATGACCTTAAAGAATATTTTACATCAATAATTACTCTGCTTTAGCACATTGTTGTAGAATTTTGATGGCTTTTGATTTTTTTTTTTTTCTCTATCTTGTATAATATTCCTGGCAGTTTGTCTTCTCACAAGGATGGTTGTCACTAATTCCTAAGGCAGCTGATTGGTGGGCAGCCTGATGATTAGAACTTTATTCTTCATATTAAGCCACAATACCTTTGTTTTGTTTATTTATTTTTATGTGGTGCTGAGGATCAAACCCAGGGCCTCACACATGTGAGGCAAGCACTCTACCACTGAGCCACAACCCCAGCCCCTTCCAATGCATTATTTTCTAGCTATGATTA